CCGGATGGGCCAGTCCCCAGGGGGGAAGTCGCCCAGAACATGCTATCCTTGGTCCAGGGCGGCTTCCCCATCCGGCTGGAGGAGGAGCCGCTGGGGCGCCTCCTGGGGCTGCTGGAGGTCGTGTCCGCCCTGCAGCTGGACAGCCTGGCGGCCCCCTGCCACACGCACTACTTCCTCCTGCTGCTGTCGGCGGCCCTCGCCGCGCCGGGGGGCTCTTGCCCCCCGTCCCTGGCCCTGACGTTTCTGACCACCTGCTACCGGCTCCTCGGCCGCCTGCAGAGAGGGAAGAGCGGCCGCTCCGTGCTCAAGGTCATGTACGCCAGCGAGCTCTGCGAGATCGTCCTGACCTCGCTATTCAGGGCCTGCCTCGGGCTGCGCGTGGACGGGGACTCGGCGCCGGGGCGGGAGTTCCTCCAGGCGGCGGGCACCTTCCTGGAGCAGCTCCTGCAGATGCTGGTGCAGGTCAAGCACAGCCTGGTGCTCAACTTCGGCAAGATCCTCGCCTTCCTCTCGGGGTGCAGCGCGTACAAGGAGGCAGCCGCGGCCAGACAGCAGGAACAGCCCCGGCCTCTGGGCCGGCAGCTCCTGCTGGCATCGCTGACCGCCTTGTGCCGCGTCCTGGGGCCCGTGGTCCGCGAGCGGAGGCCGCAGCCGGACGCCCCCGAGGCGCTGCCGGGGCTGCTGCGGCAGGTGGTGCTGCGGACGGGCGCGGTGCTGCAGCCCTGGGCCGCCCGCGGCCCCCCGCCCGCCGCCCTCCTCGCCGCGGTCAGCGCGCTCCTGGAGGCGGACCTGGGCCAGCACCCCGGGACCGAGACGTCTCCAGCGCCGGACGGGACGCGGCTCTCGCACCCAGACCTCTACCGGGGCGTGTACTTGCAGCTGCTGGCGGAGCTGCCCGCCCTGGCCACCGACCCCCCGGCCTTCCAGGCGGCCGTGAGCTTCTTGGCCCTCTTCTTCTCGGCCCCGGAGCTCCACCCCGCGGGGGAGTCTGTCTTCACCGCCGTGTTTGAGTCTCTGAGAAGGGTTCTCGCAGGTAAGAGGTCTCCCCTCGGGCTGACTCTGCGGCCAGAGGTCAGCGGTCAGGCAGGCAGAGCAGGAGTTAGCCGCGGCCTGGGGAGGCCCGGGGGCCGGTGGGATGGCGGGCGAGCCTGGCTGCCGTGTGGTCGACACTCCGCAGGGCATTTCCCTGGGGAGGGGATTGAGGGTCAGGGAGGCCCCTCTCAGCCTGCGGTCCCTCCGCCCTCAGTGCTGTGCGCAGCAAGTAAAGACCGGGGTGCGGGAAGGTGCCCTGGTTACACGCAGCGGCCCCACGGCTGAAACGGGGCCGCACAGACAAGCTGGGGTCAGACGGTGAAGGGCCCTGGACGTGTCCTCACTTGGGGCTCTGTTAGGAACCCGTGGGCCGGGGGACATTGAGTGAGAGACTCCCCCAGGCAGTCCCCGGAGGTGGCGGGGTTCTTTTATCCCTTCCACGTGGCCGTCTGCTTAAAAGTACCCGCCCAGCCCCGTGACCCTGCTGGTCTTATAAAAGAATTCAAGGGAAATAGGGGAAAACGGCCCTGGCCGGTGTGGCTCCATGGGTAGAGCGCCGGCCTGCGGACTGAAGGGTCCCGGGTTCGATCCCGGTCCAGGGCACGAACCTCGGTTGCAGGCTCCATCCCCAGCCCCAGTCGGGGCGCCTAGGGGAGACAACCAGTCGATGAGTCTCTCACATCGATGTTTCCCTCTCTGTCTGTCTCTCCCCCTGCCTTCCACTGTCTGTAAACATCGATGGGAAAATATCCTCAGGTGAGGATTAACAAAACAAAACAAAAAGACGGTAGGAAAAACGATAAAGAAAGTAACAGTCGCCCGTCCGCGTGGTCCAGGGGTTAGCCCTGCTGAGCACCCCGTGCGAGAGGCATCTGGCTGGGAATGTCGGGCCCCGAGCGTGGCCTTCCCTGGCTGCACACTGTGTCTGTCAGCACACGGCCGCTCTGATGTGTCCCCCCTCCCTCTGTCCATCTCGTCTTCCACGCAGACCCCGCCGTTCCGCCTCCGGCGGTTCAGGCCATCGAGCCTCACCTGGGAGACCTGCTCGCCCACCTGCTGGCGGCCGGGACCACCCAGGACTTCCGGGCGATGCTGCAGTGTATGCTCCGGGGGCTGGACCTCAGGAACGCGTGGAGCGCGGACCAGCCGGTGGGTGGCCCCTCCCCCTCGCCCGGCAGGCGCGTGGATGAGGGAGGGGAGCTCCGACGGGGAAGCTGAAGGTGCCGGGTCCCCCCTAAAACCAAACACAAACCAGTGGAGACCCTAGGCCGGCGGTTCTCAACCTGTGGGTCGAGACCCCTTTGGCGGTCGAACGACCCTTTCACAGGGGTCGCCTAAGACCATCCTGCAGATCAGATATTTACATGACGATTCATAGCAGTAGCAACATGACAGTGATGAAGTAGCAACGAGAATAATGTTATGGTTGGGTCACCACATGAGGAACTGTATTTAAAGGGCCAGGAGGTTGAGAACCACTGCTCTAGGCGGAGAGGGGGTTCATGGAGGCAGCTCTGCTTCGAAGGCCCTGGAGCAGGATTCCAGGCCGGGGTTTCTGGTTCTAAGCCTGCCTCACGGATTATGACCAGCACAGGGATGGGGCTCTGACT